TCCCAATTTGGAGTTAGCTTTCCCAGCTCATTGGCCCTACCGGTTGCCTCTATTTTTCGTAACACTAAGTCTTCGACTTTCAAGGGATGCTTGTGTACTTTCTTGTTGTAGGCTCTGGTCATTCCCAGACGGTAAATCTCATGACGCAAGGCGGCATTGCCCCTGCGTTCTGGGAGTGAATCAAATGCCAGGCGCATTGCTTCCCAGTTTTCCTCTTCATCATATAGCATGACTCTGAGAGTCGGCTCGTAATGTTCGATTGGCAAGACGGCTTCAGCACCGTAAACCATGAGAAATGGGGTTTCACCGGTTGCCCCCTTTGCTGTTTTCCGGATGGCCCATAGGACATGGATTAACTCTTCTGCCCACAAGCCACCGGCTCTTTCTATTTTCTTCTTAATGCCGTCTGAGATGAGTTTGTTGAAGGCTTCAACTTGGCCGTTTGCTTAGCGCCGGCCGAATGATGTAAAATAGCTTGAGATCCCTTGATCTCCCCACCAAGTTTTTAGCTGAGGCGTCTCAAATTGAGGGCCGTTATCAAACACCATAGACATAGGTACCCCATACCGAGTGATAATGTTCTTCCAGATGAAGGAAATTACGTCTGAGGTCTTGATGTTCTTTACCGCCTCAGCCTCCACCCACTTGGTGAAATAATCCACAGCCACCAAGATGTAGCGCTTTCCGCCTGGAGCAGGCGTGTAAGGACCTAGGATGTCCAAGCCCCATTTTGCAAACAGGATTGGGCTGTGGATGGCCGTCTGATCAGTAGCCGGACGGTGAATAAGTTTGCCAAATTTTTGGCACTTGTCACATTTCTTCACCAAATCCTTGGCGTCTGCCTCAAGAGTAGGCCAAAAATAATGTCGTCTGGCTCAGACGGCTAGGGACCTGCCGCCTATGTGGGAGGCGCAGAATCCCGAGTGCAAGTCTTCGAGAACTTCTTTCCCCTTTTCTGGGGTGACACACTTCAACAGGGGCTTAAGAAACCCCGCCTTGAAGAGTTCTCCGTTTCTCAACTCGAAGCTTGCAGCTCGCTTCTTCAGGACGGCTGCCTTCTGTGGCGAATCAGGAAGTGTACCGTCTGATAGATAGGCCCGGATGCCATCCATCCAGGTAGAGCTTCGGTCTAGAATTCCAATGGGATCTTCATAGATGCTTCTCTTTTCAAGAACTTCCCAAAAGACTAACCGAGGCGTATCATGGCAAGCGGAAGATGCCAGTTTTGACAATGCATCCGCCTGGTTATTTGCCGACCTAGGCACTTGATTCAGCCGGAATTCCTCAAGTGCCCCGACCTCTTCTTTGACTGCCTGAAGATATTTGATCATAGCCGGATGAGTTGCCTCATAGCTTCCTTCATACTGGCTAACGACCAATTGGGAATCAGAGTAGGCGTCAATTTTCATGGCCCCTGCCGCCTTACACATACGGATGTCAGCTAACAGGGCTTCATATTCCGCCTCATTATTAGAGGCCTGAAACTTGAAGCGTAGTGCATATTCAAATCTGTCCCCTTCAGGAGACTCGTAGATTACGCCTGCACCACAGCCGTTCTTTGTAGAGCTCCCGTCTACATACACTTTCCAAACCTGATCAAGATTATCCGGAGCCACCGGACAGGTCATTTCAACAATGAAGTCGGCAAACGCCTGACCTTTCACTGCCTTTCTTGGTTCGTAAGTGATTTCAAGGCTTTGCATTTCAATAGCCCATTTCAACATTCTCCCGGATGACTCCAAGATAGACATTGGCCGCTTGAGTGGCTGGTCGGTGTAAATCACCACCGGATGTGCCAAAAAGTAAGGCTTTAGTTTTTTGAATGCCATATACAAAGCAAGGCTAAATTTTTCAACCATGGGGTACCGAAGTTCATCATTTTTGAGAACATGGCTAATGAAGTAAACCGGGAGCTGCACGCCGTCTCGCTTAGCAAGGAGAACGACACTGAGAGCATGACCTGAGATGACTAAATACATGTACAACGTCTCCCTAGGCAAAGGACTGACCAACCTAGGTAGAGAATGCAAATGTTCTTTCAACTTCTGGAATGCCGCCTCAGCATCATCCCCCCATTCAAACCTGGTCTTCTTCCTGATTGCTTGGAAGAAATAAAGGCATTTGTCTCCTGACCGGCTGAGGAACCTCCCCAAGGCGGCCAGGCAACCGGTGAGTCTCTGAAATTCCTTGACAGAACGGGGGGACTTCATGTCAATCACCGCCTGTATCTTTTCGGGGTTAGCCTCTATCCTCCTTTGATCAATCAGGAATCCAAGAAACTTCCCAGACTCAACACCAAAGACGCATTTCTTTGGATTCAACATGACCTTATGCCGCCTGAGGGTGGTGAATGTTTCTCGGAGATCAGCAAGGTGATCCGTCTGTAGCTTGGATTTGACTATCATGTCATCAATGTACGCCTCCACATTCCTCCCAATTTGATTAATGAAGGTCGTATTAATCATCCGTTGGAAAGTGGCAGTCGCGTTTTTCAAGCCAAACAGCATCACAGTATAACAGAACAACCCCTGATCAGTGACGAAGGCCGTCTTCTCTTGATCCTTTTTCCACAGGGGTATCTGATGGAAGCCGGAGTAGGCATCCATAAAGCTCATCAAGGCGTGGCCGGCTGTAGAGTCGACCAGACTGTCGATCTTTGGAAGCGGGTAACTGTCCTTTGGACACGCCTTGTTGAGGTTTGTGTAATCAACACACATGCGCCAGGTCCCATTCGGTTTCTTAACAAGGACCACATTGGCCACCCAGTCGGGAAAATTACAAGGCCGAATGAACCTGGCGTCTAGCAGCTTTTTGATTTTGGCAGCTGCCGCCTGACTTCTTTCCTCGCCATGGTTTCTTTTCTTTTGCCGGATGGGCTTCTTTTTGGGGTCCATGACGAGTTTTTGGACAGCGAGATCCGGGCTGACGCTTGGCATCTCTTCCACTTTCAAAGGCAAAAATGTCTTTGAATTCTTTCAGCAGGAGGTGCAAGCTTGCACCCAAGGTAGCATGAGCAACCGTCCCAACCTTTACAGTATGCTCTGGACGGCTGTCATCCAGAACGAGATCAATGTTTTCACCAGCCGGTTGGGGACGGAGCTCATCTAACCGTTTACCGGTCAGTGATTGCTATTTTTTCTCTTTCTTCACCTCCACCAGCAGAGGTGCCTTTCTTTTCTTCCCGGCTGCTAGTTGGGCAGGTGCTGGGTCGGCATCCTTGACATTGTCAAGGTCTATTGGTTCCTGGCCACGTGGGGCCACAGTATCTTTGACGGCTAAAAGATAGCACTCCCGGGCCGTCTTCTAATCCCCATTCAAAGAACCAACAGAGCCATCATCCCTCTCATACTTGATGAGCATGAGAGACGGGATGATTACCGCCTTGGCTTCGTTGAGAGTTGGCCGACCAAGGATAATGTTGTAGGCAGTCAACTCCTCAACGACCAAGAATCTGACGACAATATGTCGTCCCTGGCCTTTCTCTCCCAGCCAGATGGGTAAGTTAATTCTCCCGGCTGGGTAGACCATCCCGCCCCCAAAACCAACCAGGGGGTGGGTGACCGGATGCATGCTGCTGACATTGTATTTCAGCTTTTGCAGGCACCGGAGGCTGATGATGTCTGATGAGCTGCCGGTGTCAATAAGGATTCTTCCAACCAGCTGGTTGGCAACCTTACATTCAATGACAATCGGGTCATCATGCGAACGGCGGACGCTGCCCCTGTCCTTCTCATTGATCAAGACGTCTGGGAAGGAGGTTCTTGCAGACGCGTGCTCATCATCATCCTTGTCCATCTTTTGAAGATGGCTCTTGGTGCCCCGGATGATAGGGCCACCACAGGAGAACCCGCCTGCTATTATGTAGACCGGCTCCTTGTCGGTATCCGAGCTACTAGCAGGCTGGGGGGTAGTCTTGGATGACTGACCCTTGTTCTTCTTCTTTGCCCCGGCTGGGGACTCAGAAATGTAGGAATTCAACATCCCCTTGTTAGCCAGACAGTCCAACGCCCGTTGTAGGCTGAAGCAGTCGTTGGTGTCATGGCCAACCTCCTCATGGTATTGGCAGAATTTGCTCTTGTTCCTTGATTGATTGGAACTTTTCATTGGATTCGGCTTCTCTAGGGACAGCCGTTCCTTGATTTCCATGAGGATGGAGTTGCAGTCCTTGTTAAACTCGTACTTAGGAACGTACATTTTAAACTCTTTCTTTTTCTTCTAGGACGGCTAATCAGAGTCATTAACCGCCCATATTTCTTTTCTTTTCTTGCTCTCTTCTTTATTTTTGGCCGGCTGAGCAGGCCGGCTGTCTTTTTGCTTGTCGGACTTTTTGGAGTCCGACTGGTTACCAGGCGAGCAGATGTCGGTAGCTTGAATGTAGCTTTCCGCCTCCCTCAAGGCCGCCTGTAAGGTGAAAGCCTCTTTTCTGACTAGGTTGAACTTAAAGGTCGACCCGTCTCTCAGACCCTTGAAGAAGTCTGTAAAAGCTACCTCATTAGACAATCCTTGAATATGAATTCTGATCAGCTTGAACCGCCTGACATATGAGCGCAGCCCTTCTCTCTCTCCCTGCTTAACAGTGCTCAAGTCAAGGCTTGTTTTCTTAGCAGGGATGTTCATTGAGAAGTTGGAAGCAAACAGGAAGGCGAGCTTCCTGAAATTGTCAATGGACCCGGCTGGCAATTTTCCAAACCATTGTTGGGCAATGCCCTTCAATGTAGCCGGGAAGCACCAACACCAGGTGGCATCATCCAACCCCTGTAGGTACATGAGGTCGGTGTATGCCATAAGGTGATCTTCCGGGTTGGTGGTACCATCATAGGTACCCACCAATACATTCTTAACCTTGGCCGGCTGTGCCGCCTCGGTTATCTCCCGGGTGAACGCAAAAGGTTGTTCACCCAGGCGTAGCGGACGGAGCTGCCAGTCTAGAGGCTGGACATTTTGATATGCCGCCTGACCTCCGAAGAGGGCCTGCTGCATGAAGTGAGGGGGATACTGACCGTAAACCTGAGTAGGTACATACAGCACAATTCCAATCATCTGAGGGCCAGAATGGATGGTATTACCACCCGTCTGGCTCTCATGCAGGGAGAGAGCATTCCCTGCAGAAGTATTGTTGAAGCCGTCAGGAAAGTTCGACATTGAAGCCGACTCAGACAGTTGTTGATTTCTCTTCCGGTTGATTATTTCTCGGGCATCAAGAGATGACTTTTTACTTCCCACCGTTGTTGAGTCCGGCGGGTATTATTGTTATTCCTCCTAGGAAGAAGAATCTTGGACCAATCAATGGTCCCGGCTGCCTTCTCCTTTGGATGGGGAGTTGGCTGCCGATCTTTGATTGACTTCCCCTTTTCTAGAGGAGCCTTCTTGGCCGACTGACCTCTTCTTGGGCCAGCCCGGCTCTGGGTGATCAGCTCTTTAATCTCACCCTTGAAACTTGTCATGAACCTCATGAGTTCGTCTCGGGTGACTGGTGCTGATCCTGCGGCCGTATGGGTTTCCCTTTCCGGCTGCCCAGGGGGTCGACTTGTACCCGCCTGGGTGGCACCCCACTCTAGAGTATCTCTGGGCCGGATGCGCTTGATTCTGAGAGAGCCATCATCGGCTGTAAAGGTTTCGACCTGAGGATCTTCATCCTCATGGTTTATAAAGACTTCTGGGTCATCGCCCAGACGGTTAGGGGGTACAGACTCTTGAACCATCTTCGAGGTACTCTCCCCACAGACAGCGCCAAATGTTTTGGGTGTTTTTGTCCCTCGGGAGAGTTACAACACGAAGACTGATCCGGCGTGAGCTGTACCTGCAAAACAAACAGAGACACCGGTTGGGAGGTGCTCCGCCTCCGACGCACAAGTTAGTAACTTGTAGGGAGAAAAAAAGATGCGAAAATCTAGGTGGGTACCTGCTCGGATTCCAAGCTCAGATGTCTCTATCACAGGAACTGTTTGTAATAAATGGTAAAAACGTGCCCTCAAAAAGAGGGAAATCTCCCTATTTATAAGGTCCTTGGGATTTGTGTCCCTGATTAGGTCACTGAACCCTAATCATTGGTGGGCTGCGCCGCTTTGTGGCTTTCTCGGGATTTGGGCCTGAAGGCCGCCTCTTTCCCCCCCTAATTTCTGGAGTGACACGTGTCAGGCAGGGATTGGTCCACTTTGGGCCAACCTGAGGCTGACACGTGTCATCCTCTGATTGGACCACGTGGCGGGGTAAAATTACCCTAAACAAGACTTGATGTGCATTTTGTATGATTTACCTTCATTATCCATCTTGAAAAAACTTCCACAATAATCTTCAAGCATATTTTCATAGTCTACGGAGTATGATGTGGAATGAGAAATTTGGCCTCCATTTGCATTATTATTACCTACAACTGCAGAATTATCTGGAAAAAAAAATCGGATCGATCTGAATTCAATAAGATAACATTAGAAATTTGTTATACTTTTAATTAAGCTATAACAATAAAATTTAGGAGATGTAATTACCTCCATGAACACTAGTAAATTCATCTTCCGAGTCCGAGTCCGAGTCTGACTCCACTACACTAACTGGATCAAACCATGCTTCCTCCTTAGAGCTACCTACACATAGTTTATTATAAACTAATAATGAATATCTATCTAATATGTTTGTAAAGTTGTGCATAGGAAGAACAAGTCGTGCTAGAGACAAGATACAAGGAACTCAAGCAATTCAATGACAAAGCATATATTATAAGGAACATGAGCAATATATGATAAGAAATATATGACAAAAAAATAAGGATGAGATATGATTGGTAAGCTTGATGAGGCTAATTTAAGGAACACATGAAGATAATTGTGTAAATAGATGTTTATCTAAGCTATCTTCATGAATTGAAGTAAGTATCCTAGCTATGCATACATGACTTGTGTATGTTTGGGAAACTTAATGTATATATGCTTAGGAGTCTTTTAGTCTAGGCTTTTTAGGAGTTTCTATCTTGTAATGTTAAGTGTTGCAATGTTAAGGAACTTTAAGCTCTTTGTTGTAAAGCTCTACTTTAATTTAGCTTAATTAGTTTTAGTTTCACTTTCTTGTTTTAAAGTTCCAATTCCAGCTAGTTTCAGACAGCTCTCGAATGTCCAACATATTGGTTATAGCTCTTTATTCATGTATATGTATTGAGAGTTATTCATTAAGATCTTGCAATTAAAAAAGGTCAAGGTGTTAGTGTATTCTTGTATATTAGGGTGTGAGAGTTTGTGAGGATTATCTTTATTGTAATTGATATATTGCAAAGTGTAGCCTTCTAGAATGAGGCCGAGTGAGTAGTGCTACAGGAGTACCATTGGGAATACATTGAGGAACAATTAGGTTACCATTGAGTTCCAGGTAGGAACTGGGTTCATAGCAAGTTCGATGTAGGAACTTGTGTGAAAAATCTGGTTATAATAGATAGGTCTACTTCTAGAGCAAGCAAGTGATCTCAATTAAGTAGGATTTTTTTTTCTCATCATTATTTATTGCCAACTAATGGTAAAGTTGGGAATTCCACCAACTAATGTCTATAAGTAATGATCTTCAATTTATACAAAAATTTGTACATATATAAGATATTAAGAGGAAGGAGTTCATGTTACCATTAGGGTTATTTTGATTACGATGCAACTGCATTTGCTTGAGAAGGAATGATGAATTCAATACCTCCGATCTTCGAAAATCACTTGTTTCACCCTCCCCAACATTCGTATGAAGAAATTGGCTAACAGTTATGAAGCTTGCCCCATCACCTAATGGCTTATTTTTATCTTCACCAACAAAATTTGAAATTCTTCGACGATGTTTGGTGGAATGATAACGGAATTTTCTTCGCGTCCTAACGGGTTTTGTGTGTTTTGAGTAACAGCCACCCATTATGATCACTTATTCACTTATATCATCAAAGAGTACAAATTATATCTCAAACACACTTCACCAAAATTATTTGTACATGCACTAGGATTTATATCTGAAAATAAAAGCAATTAACAAAATTAGCTTAACTTAGATTTCTATTCCTTTTCAAACCAATTTAATGACTAAAAAAATAAGAAAATGTGCATGTATAATGAAGAAGAAGAGCAATCAAAAGGATTCATATCAAAATGATTTTATCTCTAAATTTACAAAGCAATCAAAACAACTCAGTATAAATGGAGAAATAATAAAATTAGTTGACTCTATTTTGTGTGCAACGTTGTGAAATGAATGCATGTAAAGGTTTTGTGAAAATTAAATGTAAAAATATTACTCTTGTTAACACAACATTTTTTATATACACCCGTGTTTATGATAGAAGTAGGTGCACCCAAAAATTGTTGTATGAACCAATGTGTGTGTTTTTTTTTTTTTTTTTTTTTTTTTTTTTTTTTTTTTTGTTGACAACAGCGTATGAACCAATGTCAAGACAACAAGCATTCATATAATAAATCTCAAAATGTGATTTATTTATATATAATTCATTTTATTTTTAAAAGTTGTTTGGTTATTATGAGAATTTAGTTATGCATGTTGAACAAAACAATACATAACAATGAAAGGAACAAAGGTAATTGATCTTCCACCAATTTATCTTTACACAAATTATATATAAGGTATTTATTAAAATGTATGAATGATAAATAACACTATTTAACGTGTGAACAAATACAGGCATCAAAATCCAATTCTAGAAACACATATAAAATTGAACAATTTAACATGTGTATCGTACCTTTCAACCTACATTGAAAACCATTTTTCCATCATATTGTAAAAAGCATGAATACATTACTAATGAGAGCATGTCAAATTGATTTATTAAGCACCCACAATTTAATACTCCCTAATGATATAATTAAAGCAAGATATAATCAACGATATTTAGATTTTAAAATTTCAAAAACAATGGCACAATCAATTGTCAAAAATGAAGAAAAATATATAATTTATACCATAAAAAAAATAAACATTCAAAATTCTTCTGAAAAATTCAATATCAAAAAGTTTATGATACCTCAAAAAGTGAAAATGATAACAAAAATCATGGGATGATGAAGATGAAATGTTGGTTTTCCCTTATCCTTGTCAAAATTACATACCAAAGAGAAATAATATAAGACTTAATAGCTAGATGTAAGATAAATTTTGAAAAGAATGACTAAGAAATTTTTGCAACTGAAAATTTGCCCCTTTTTCCTCAAAAAAAGATATTTATTTGATGTTACCCCCTGAAAAGGGAGTTTATCCATTCCAACTTCCAAGTTTTACGTTGTTGCACACTTTTAAATTTGGTGTCTTAATTAACTGCAACTAGCTAGCATGGAGCCACCACATGCACAAGAGGAGAGAGAAAGAGAGGATTGGATTTCAAAACAATGTAATCGTTGCTTCTTAGGTCCCTCTATTTCAATAACATTATTAACATACACGTCAATCCCTCCATTCCTAAATAAATAATATGTTGTATTTTATTTTGTCTTTCAGTATTCATATACTAATTTTGACCATTGTTTTTATTATGTATATATATATATAAGATACTTTATTTATAACATATGGAGTATATTAATTCTCTTGCATATCTTTCTCTCTCTAAACACTATTTGACTTTGGCATCGGAGGGGCATTCCTGGGCACAACCCCCGAGGCCAGTTTACGTGTGTTTGCTGTGCAGGAAACCCTCGGCCCAGCATCATTTGGACCGGGTCAGTCTTCATCCACATCTTCGGACCTTCGGCAAGGTCCCATTGTTTTCATCCGAAACAATTTGGCGCCGTCTGTGGGGAAGACTTCCAAAAAATCTTTAAGCCAATCTAAATCGTTCTACTAAAATCTTAGTATCAATATCTAAGAATCGCAAGAACAAGAATAGCGGTGCTTCCCCCTTGCGGAAGCGCCAAGCAATTCAAGGAGTGGGTGACCCTCCTACTTCTACGCCATCGCCTTCTCCGGAGCGAAACTCTTCTAAGGGTGCCAGCTCAGGAGGAGCATATTGGGAGGATTCTCTTTCTCCCGTAATTCAATCTCATCATAGGCCGAGTCCTCCTCGGTCTAACAATGATAACCAGTCCGACCACAGGACTCAATCAATACCTCGAAGCAGACCTTTGAGCATCCACTCTCACTCTCATACTCAACCGAGGACCCCTTTAACGGGGCCCAGCTCGGAGGAGTTAGCGAGGGCATTGGCGGTGCTCATGGAAGCCGTGAAGGCTTAGAACGTGCCACCTTCACGTGACCGAAATCCTCCGCAAACCAGGCATCAGCGGAGAAGGCTCGGCCAGGAGGGGGAAAACCTCCCTCCTTCAGGGAGTTGGCAGAATGGGAAGAGGACACTTGGAGAACCGAGAGAGAAAAAAGAAAGAACCCTCACTTCTTCAAGGAACCCTCTACCCAATTCACCCCGAGCAAGACTCATAAAAGCAGCAGCTCTGCCTCTCGGCTAGAGACTGTTCGCCGAAGCGCTCTCGACCGATTAGGCGACAGGGAGCGGAGTGTTCACAGCCGCCTGTCATTCCCTGTAGCCGAGACCCGACCTTCCCAGCCGGGGACGAAAACCACTCTTACCTCTCTGAGAGGGCAGAGCGCGGTCCCTTCGTCTAGGAACAAGGGTAAGGTCGTGATGCTTCCCACCAGTTCTCCATTTGAACAATGGATTCTGGAAGAGCATGTGCCGACGGTTAAAATCCCATCGCACATTACTTACGAGGGGCACATGCACCTGTACCTTAGGTCCGAAGCGACTTGGTGCAAATATTTTCCCACCACTCTCAAGGGGGTCGCCAAGCGTGGATCTCCAAGGGGGTGAAGGAAGGCTTTATAACGGGGTGGGATGACTTGTCCGCCAAGTTCAAGAGCAAATTTTCCACGGCGAATCGCCGAGAAAAAACTACTGCAGAGCTGATGGGCTTGCAGCAAGGGGAGACCGAAAGTCTTCGGGATTACCTGACTCGTTTCAGCAACGAGTCATGCAGCGTTTCCCAGCTAGATCAAGGGCTGGCCGTCTTTGCAATGCAAAACGACCTTCAGCCAGGAAAGTTCCTTGACTTCATGGTCAAGCATCCCCCGCAGACCTTGGAGGAAGCTCTGAACGCTTCGGATAAGTTCATCCGAGCTGAAGAGTGGAACAAAACAAAAACCCAACCTCAATCAGGGGGCGGGAAGCAAAAACAACAGCCGTCTGAAGGCCAAGGCCAGAAGGCGAAAGGCAAGGCGAAAGCCTCGGAACAGCCTTCGGCCAACGAGCCGAAGAAGAAAAAATATGCTCCCTTCACGGGCAGGTACGAATCCTATACTCCGCTCGCCCTTCCACGTGCCAAAATCAACATCGTGACGAAGAAGGAGCAGAGTTACAGAAAGTCGAGGCCACTCCTAGAGTGGTATCAGCGAAAAAATAAAAACCAGTGGTGCGAGTTATATGAATCACCGGGACACAACACTGAAGAATGTATCCAGCTAAAGGATTAAATCAAGGATATGGTCCTGAAGGGGTATTTGAAAAAATATATCGCGGATCACCGCGAGAAAAAAGAGGCTGAGAAGTCCGAAAAGGACCCTCAGCAAGAACTCGATTTCCCCTGAAAGAACAGCAAGAATGTGGAGGGAAAATTTCCTCCAATCCATGTCATTTCGGGAGGAACATGCTCTCGGAGGGAGCACAAGCGTCACCTCAGAGCTCTAACTCACTAGGTGAACAACGCAAGCATCCAGCCGCCCCAGTCACCGGTGTCGTACATGACGTTCACATCCGCTGACTGTCGGGGGGTGACGTACCCTCACGAGGACCCGTTGGTGATCATCGCCACGGTGGCCAACCACGACGTTAGCAAGGTTCTTGTTGATGGTGGCAGCGGAGCAAACATTTTGTTCATAAAGGCCTACAACCAAATTAAGCTGAAGCCCAAGCACTTCACGCCGGTACCCTACCCGGTATCCGGATTTAATGGGGCCTCAACTTATCCGGATGGGAAGGTAACTCTTCCCGTCACCATCGTCTGTGACGAAGCAGCTAGGAACGTCATGACTGAATTCTTGGTCATCGATGCTCCTTACGTGTACAACGTGATCATGGGGAGGCCTATAATTCACGAGATTCAAGGGGTAGTCTCGACATACCACCAGCTCATGATCTATGTTTCGGATGCTGGCTATCCCGAAAGAATCGAGGGCAGCCAAAAGGAAGCCCGAAGATGCAACTACCTCAAGCCATCCACCAGTCGTGCAGAAGATGACGACGAGGATGAGTTGGAGAAAGAAAGAGAGCCAAGTGTGAAGAAGCCAAAAGGCCTAAGCGCTTCGGCTCAAGGAGACCTGGCCAAAGAAAAAGGGCCAGGAAAAGAAAAGGCTAGCTCTTCATCTGAGCCGAGAGACTTAGAGAGCCAGCCAAAGAAGAAAAAGTCTGGGACTCCTGCTGATATAGACAACAGGCCAGAAAGTGAAGAGTCCGGCCCCACAGCTATGGAGATGGACCAGTAGACCGAAACGGTCGAGTGGACCGAGGGAGACGCTGAAAAATGTGTTACAATCGGGCTGGATCTTGATCCGAGAGTCCGCGTTGAGCTCATCCAACTCCTTCGGGACAACCGAGATGTGTTTACTTTCTCTGTAGCTGATATGCCTGGGATAAATCCAGACCACATCTCTCATAAGCTTAACGTCGACCCGACTTGTCGTCCAGTTAAGAAAAAGAAGCGGAATTACTCTGCAAATAAGAACCAAGACATCGCAGCCGAAGTCAAAAAGTTACTGGATGTAGGCTTGATCAAACCCTGTCAGTATCCAGAATGGCTGGGTAATGTGGTGATGGTTCAGAAGACAAATGGCACCTGGAGAATGTGCGTTGACTTCACGGACCTAAATAAGGCCTGTCCGAAGGATTTCTATCCCTTGCCGAG